CCAGCTGCTGTAAGCTTGGATGTGCTGCTGGTGTAATGGATAAAGGCTCGGAATTCTTAATCGAAGAGCTGATTTCTCGTACGATCAACGAAGTTAAGCAGCGTCGAGCGTGGTCAGTCCCTAAATGGGTGAGAATACCAGGTGCTGTAAGCTTGGATGTGCTGCTGGTGTAATGGACAAAGGCTCGGAATTATTAATTGGAGAGCCGTGTTCCAATTCCCGTTGGGTTCGTTATATTCACTTACACTCAAATACCATTGGGAAATGTGGGCATCCACTTCTTTTCCCCCCAGCTATGGGTGAATTAGTAAGACTTTTAACCATTATTATCACCCAACCCAATATTTACGATCTAAATTTTTTTTTTCTGGCTTGAAAGGGTTGATAAGCCGTAGAAAACTAAGCAAAATATAAATTGGGAAATTCAAAAGATGTAAAATAATTATTATGCTTGATGTTCTGGGAAATATATATATATAATTCCCACGTTTAGAATGAAGTTTACATTATAGAAAATTGAGGGACACGGGAAAAATGAAGTATTCATTTTTTTTTCTTTATCATGAACTCTTTCCTTGTCAATGCACTTCATTAAATAATCATTATATATCGAACATTTCAGAACGAAATATTATATATAGAACATTTCAGATTGAAATTCAACTATATACATGCGAAGCTATTGCTGCATACTAATATATATATATATATATATATATATATATATATATATATATATATATATATATATATATATATATTTTGAACAATAAGAAAATAAAAAATTAAAAATTAAAATCATTAGACACACTGGGTTTGTAGATTAATATTCTTTCGTTTTTTATTATTATTATTCCATTTAGATTCCTCGACTAGTTTCGACCGAAATGGCCATCATCGGGAGGAGAAATATTTCTGCTTGCTGTTGGAAGTGAACTACAGAAATGAATATATATATATGGGGAGTGGTTATGTGTGTGTGAGTGTTATGTAACACCAATGGGAACAGAGGGTATATGTGCTGATGAAAGATTGCAAGATGATGGGGTGTTGAGAAGGCAGGTGTAAAAGAAAGAAAGAAAGAAAGAAAGAAAGAAAGAAAAAGTGAAGAGAAAGAAATAAAGAAACCTGTATGGGAAGATTGCAGTAAAGAGAGCATGAATTGGAAGAAAAGGCAAATGTCATAGAGATAAAGAAATAAACGAAGGAAGGAAGGAAGGAAGGAAGGAAGGAAGGAAGGAAGGAATAGGCGGATGGAAAGAAGAAAGGAATGGGAGGAAGGAAGGAATGGGAGGAATGGAAGGCTGGAAGGAAGGAAGGAAGGAAGGAAGGAAGGAAGGAAGGAAGGAAGGAAGGAAGGAAGGAAGGAAGGAAGGAAGGAAGGAAGGAAGGAAGGAATGGAAGGCTGGAAGGAAGGAACGAAGTGGGAAGGAAAAGGAAGAAAAGGAAGGAAGGAAGTAAGGAAGGAAGGAAGGAAGGAAGGAATGGGAGGAAGGAAGGAAGGAAAAGAAACAGGGGAAGAAGAACGCAAAGAGAGAAAGAATCAAAAGAAAGAAGGACGCGTATATGGGGAGATTAATCTGAAACGAAAGAAAGAAAGAAAGAAAGAAAGAAAGAAAGAAAGAAAGAAAGAAAGAAAGAAAGAAAGAAAGCAGCATGTTTGGGGTGAGTAACCTGGAAAGAGTATGGGTTGAAAGAAAGAGGAACGAGAAAGAAAGAAAGAAAGAAAGATAGAAAGAAAGAAAGAAAGAAAGAAAGAAGTATGTATGGAGAAAGTTAATTGAAAAGATTCTAAGATGATAGAAAGGTTAATGAGAAAGAAAGAAAGAAAGAAAGAAAGAAAGAAAGAAAAGAGATGAAAAAGGAAGAGAAAAGAAAGAATGAATCCTGTATGAGAGAAACAAAATGAAGAAAGGGCAAAAAAGAAAGCAAGAAAAAACACGAAGTGTCACAGAGAAATACGATGACTGAAATCTGGGATTTTATAGTGGGAGAAGGAAGCCGATGAAAGAAAATGAGCAGCGTGCCGGGTGGTAGGAGATGGAGATTAATTAAATATTGTTATCAAACTAGTTATTACCCCTAACAAATTTGATTAGTTTTGAAAAACGTATTCACACCTATTTGCTGCAGATGTTATTTCATTTTTTAAAAAAATTGGATTTAATTTATTCTATATTTTTTAAATGTTTATATAATAAACACACATTCGCTTAAAATAAAATCTTGGGATCCACAGTCTTTCCGCCATTTTTTATTGAGCACGCCGTGGTAAATTCATTTTAAATTTATTTTCTGGATGAATATATGTACGAATCCTATTTGTATAATCTTTGAATATATCTCCTTTGTTCTTTCATACGGTAATTTTCTAAGCTTAGCTTAGATATGACACAAGGCCTAAAGTAGGGGGTACCCAGTGAGGATCGAAATCACTACTCAGTCGTAATTGTTCTAGAGAGACACACTAGCTAACCATTACAACACGCAGAGTTGGCCAATGATTTTTCTAAGCGTAAATTAGATACGACACACGGCCAAAAGTATGGGGCACCCAGTGAGGATCGAACTGACCATTCAGTCGTAACTGATCTAGCGGGACAAGCTTGTTAACCATTACACATCGAAGCACCCCGTGGATACCATGCATGGCGCCAGAAATATCTAAGCTGTAAGCTACAGTGTAACCCGGATATAAGAAACCCGGATATAAGAGAGGTTTTCTCTGGTCCCAAATTAGAGCCTGTGTTAATGTATATATAATAGACTAAACCCGGATATAAGAGAAACCCGGATATAAGAGACTTCTCATCCGGTCCCGGTAACTCTCTTATATCCGGGTTACACTGTATATACTATTTTTATAAGAAAAATGTATATTTATTGATATATTTATATTTTGAGTGAAAATCTTTAAAATAGATCTACGGAAGTTTTTCAGTTTATCGCCAAAATTCAAATTAACTGATAAACATTATCAGTAATACTTTACTTTAGTAAACCTGATAATTAAGGTGACATAAAATGAAACCCTAAAATCTTCTGTTTGATATTCATAAACTTATCCCATCACTTTTATCGCTTCACTACGGAAGAAAACTAAGCACATTGAGAGCATTGTGCTTTCATCGTTGGAAAGAAACTAAAGACATCCCAATTGAATGCACCTATTCCATTGTACATGATACTGCTGGAGTATCAAAAGGAACTTAAATAACATTGAACAAGACAGACAATCAAGAAAGAAAAAATGTTTACCATAGTTCTTATGTTCATGAAGTTTTTATTTCTGCTGTTTGTTTATTAAATGATTTCATGAAAATACTTGGTCTTGGGTATATTCAATTGTGTTGTTTTTAAAGACTTAGAATCTGATTGTTATTGCAAAAATAGTATTTTTCAATAAGCAAATCAATATTTGTTGGTTTAAATACGAATTGAGAGGTCTATATGATTTTATTTTGAGAAATATTGTCATTGGACAATAACATATGTACAGAAAACTAAGGAAAAAACTGCTTTTTTCAAAAAAATATGAGGCATTTCTATACAGCAAAAACGGTAGCTAACGAAGAAAAAGTGAGGTCATTTTAAGATTCAGCGCCCTCAAATTAGCTGAAAAAGATGGTTGGTGTCTAAACACTATTTCAATTTTTTTTTTTTTGTTGACCAGAGTAATCTATTCGGTATTGACAATATGTAACATAAGCCCTAACAAATTTACTAAGGAAGGAAGCAAAGAAGGAATGAAGGAAAGAAGGAAGGAAGGAAGGAACAAACATGATTATAATATAATAATAAAAAGTGTATTCAAGAGGTTATTTAACCAGAATGTGATAAAAATGGCATCGCATCTATCTATCTATCTATCTATCTATCTATCTATCTATCTATCACATTCTTTTTCTATCTATCTATCTATCTATCTATCTATCTATCTATCTATCTATCTATCTATCTCCCATTTTCTTCATATCTATCTATCTATCACATTCTTTTTCTATCTATCTATCTCCCATTTTCTTCATATCTATCTATCTATCTATCTATCACATTCATTTTCTATCTATCTATCTATCTATCTATCTATCTATCTATCTATCTATCTATTTCCCATTTTCTTCATATCTATCTATCTATCTATCTCCCATTTTCTTCATATCTATCACATTCTTTTTCTATCTATCTATCTATCTATCTATCTCCCATTTTCTTCATATCTATCTATCTATCTATCACATTCTTTTTCTATCTATCTATCTATCTATCTATCTATCTATCTATCTATCTATCTCCCATTTTCTTCATATCTCTCTATCTATCTATCTATCTATTTAATTTCTTTCTCTAAAAACCAAACAGTACATTTAATATATTCTTCTATCCCTACTCACAACGAAACAGTAATAACCCGTTGTTTGGAGTACCGTATATGCTAAGGGCAATATCAATATAAGCCATTTCCCTATAAGGAAACATTTATCAATCATTAATCGAGCAGCTTGCAATATTCCAGTTGAAATTTATAAAATCTTTATGTTAAGACACATTTTTTTTAAATCAAAACACGTTTCTCAAGTTCAGTAGCTTTTATCACGCTTTCCAGTATTGATGGGTTTTTTCCTTCCGAAACTTCGATTCGGTTTGGAATGTCAGGATCTTGATGATGCCATTATTTTCTCTTAGTGTTACGTGTGCAATACATTTTAGCTGTTGCTGCTGTTGGTAGTCCACAAGTGATGTGGTTTCTGTTAATTGGCACAGTTTTTTTTTTGTGATTATGTAGCGTCAGTTCAAAATGTACAAAGAAGGATGATCTTTACCAAGATTCTCAGGCTTGACTCGCTCAAGAACTTGTTTTTCACTATAGAAAACCATCAAATTAGCTAAAAAATATGTTTTGTTTCTTGGCACCAAAAATCATGTTGGCCAGTGTTATGGACTATTCTGTTTTGATCGTGAGGGAAAGACAAAAAATGCATCAGAGACCTTGTTTGGTTTTAACAAGAAAAAGAAAAAAAAGAGACAGCCCGAGAGAGAGAGAGAGAGAGAGAGAGAGAGAGAGAAAGAGAGAGACGAGGCACTAAAGTTCTTATGTGTTTAACGTCTACTTAAGAGAAAACCAAATATATGTTTCAAATCTTTTTTTTATTTGTACCCTCTTACTTCTTAAAAATATAAACATGCATTTATAGTGTCACTGCGATATTTGGCTAACCTAAAGTTTTTAAGCTCAAATATGTAATGATGCATTTACGTGCATTTTATTTTATTTATAGTTGCAGACCCCACAAGAACCCTATTCAAGCATTAACTTAAAAATTATGATTCATCAGAAAATTCAAATAGCAAAAACGCTCAATTTTCTCCAATATTCGTGGTATCTATTCCAATTTCTGTGGTGTAGAATCTTCTCTTGAAACAGTCTCCGGATCTTTTCAAATTTTGCGAAAATAATTTAAATTCTTCTATCGCTACCAATGAAAAATCTGTTACAAGATATCTTCCTTTTTTTTCTGAAAAGATTCTAGCATACAGAAAAGATTCTCGGGATTTATTTCCGGGAAAATCTGTCAATGGGAAAGGAAGTATCCCTTCAGTGCCCAGATGTTTCATGTGCTTTCGACTTTTGTTATTGCATTCTGTTATCGTTTCTTCCTTTATCGGTCTCCTTCTTCTCAGAAGTGCAATATATTAAAGAAAATTTCTCATAGCATAGAAATGTCACCCTCTCTACTATTTATCTGGAAACATTTTTGCGTTTGGTGTTTTTAATGATTATCAATCTGCTGTTGACGGTATGTAGCCTCTTACTGAAATAATGGATTTCCGTACTTTTTTTCCTAATAAATCTGATCAGCATGCTTATTTAGTAGACCTGTTCCTTAATTCCTCTTCTGTCGTATCTCTGTCCTTTAGCTAATTTGGATCAAGTTGTAGTATCTGTTGATATTTCTTTTGAGTCGTCTATTAGAAAGGAACCACCTTTTCACACGGCTTCTTACCAACATACTGAATTTGAATTTCATGGCTTTCTTCAAGACGCCTTTTTATATATATATATATATATATATATATATATATATATATATATAAGTATTTTTATAAAAAAATTAAACATAAGTCAATGTTATAAAATCACTACAAAAATAGCCATTTTTAAACATACTCTGTGTCTTAAAGGGGGAAATGAAAATAAAATAAATAACCAATAAAAACGAATTCAGAAAGATTAACGATCCTACACGTATTTAAAGATTTAATAAAATTATAACAGGTTTTTTGAAGTTTTGAAAAGATTCAAAACTTGGTTTTTGATTGGTTTAAAAATGTTTAGCTAGTGTAGGATCGTTAATTAATCTGAAACTTTTAAAACCATTTATTTTATTTTCAACATCATCACTTGATAAGACACAGAGTGTGTTGAAACAAAATGGCTATTTTTGTAGTGATTTTATAACATACTTATGTTATAATTTTTTTATAAAAATAATTATATCTGCTCTAGTTTGTATTGAGCACTCTTTTAAGAATAGTAATTGTTGGTTATTGGAATTCATTCCGTATATACCAATTATATACTTTATATATATATATATATATATATATATATATATATATATATATATATGTGTGTGTGTGTGTGTGTGTGTGTGTGTGTGTGTGTGTGTGTGTATAATTAGAAAAAAATGGTCCACGTGTGCTTCTTTCTAATATGTAAAATAGGTTAATTAATAAAACAAGTAGAACGAAAAGGTACCAATGTAATAATATACGATTAGACACACACAAGTAATACAGACGTGTTAAAGTTTTTATACTGATCAAAATTTTAAATTTAAGTTCATTTTTATAAAACTTTTCGCACAATGAGGAATCAGACAGTGGTGGGTTTTTCCTAACAAGAGGATTTCCACAAAAACATCTGTCAGTGAGTAATTCCCATTTCTTTGTTTATTCATCGGTCCGTTGATAAAGGACACTGGCGTATCCGAAAATTCCGAACTTAAAACTTTTTTCTCCATGTTTCATTCTGTCATATGGTTAATAATTAATATTCAATAAATGTCTATCGTACTGATTATTTTGGTACCCTTTCATTCGTTCTTGTTTTATTAACTAACCTATCTATCTTATATATACACACACACACACACACACACACACACACACACACACACATATATATATATATATATATATATATAGATAGATAGATGCACATTTCATTGAATACGACAGACAAGGTGCTTTGATTTCATTTTTTATACAATTTCTCATGCGATCTAATTTTTTTTCTTTCGAGATGATAAATTATACAAAAAACTGTCCGAATGTTCTTTTTTTCGAGCACTTTCGGCTATACATTTAGCCATTTTCAAGGATGAAATATTTTAACTGTTAAATAAGAAATAATTTGTTGTATGTATGTATTCATATAATATTTTCATTTTTCAAAACACGATCAATATATTGTGTCCATGTTCATAGTTGATATTATTAAGTGTTGTGTTTTTTTTGTTTATATTAATAAGGGTTCCATTATTTTTAGTCTTTTTTTTTTGCATGTAGATGATGCTATTATATTAGTGTCGTCAACAAGTATGTTACGAATAGTGTCCGGTAGTGTTAGAGCTAAAGAGAGGGGTAACAGACGAGAGAAGGTGGGAGATTAAACCTTAACAGAGAGAAGTTTTAGAGAGGTGAGTGGAAGAGGTTTAAGTGAGAGAAATATGAATGTTGTCGGATGTCAGATACATTTCTTCTGTTACCCCCATCTTTAGCTCTAACATTCATCCCACAGCCTCATACTTACACTCTCTCTAAATTCTATTTTTATTTCCGGGGTTGTTTTTTCTGTTTTCTTTCTCAATTTGTAGGTCTGATGAATTGGATCGTATTTACGATTCCAATGGAATAAATTATGACCATGGAATATTAGTGTTTAAGCCTTTTTATTATATCCTTACTCTGTCCTGGATATTGAGTTCTACCTGGATTCTATCCTCTTGGAATTTTTTATTCAAAAAATATACAGGTATGTGTATGCACCTATGTATATATATTTACATATTTTGCACATGTATGTGTATATTTACCACTAATATTAGCTATATATATATATATATATATATATATATATATATATATATATATATATATATATACTTGTTTCTGATTCCGTGCATGTATTTACCACAGAGAATTTAATATCTTTCACTGGTTTTTCTCAAGCATCCGTTGTATTGCATTGATTATTAATATCATCGTTGTCTATTTCACTTATTCCTATTCTATTTGGTCTCATCACTCAAATTTGTATTTACCATCGGCCCTGACACCAGAATAATCGTTTCATCATTGAGACAAGCTATAAAAACATTCTTGCTATTGTCTTCTTTGTGTTATCTCGCCAAATCAGCGCGCGTCTTGTTTGAAGTCCCGAAAAAAAAGGAAAAAAAAAAGAAGCCCACATTAAAACACTTCTTTTCTCACAAAACATCCCACCAGTGTCTTTCTTGTCCGCCATTTTCTCGGTCTCCTACTTTTTATTGGCCAAAATTCGAGCCGTTGTCAACGATGTGTTATTTCTTTCTGGACGGGTTCGTACGGACGCTCGCGAAAATATACGCTTTGGGGGTGGAAAACTAGGCACGTCTGCTTTATTACGTACAGCATTGTTCCGCCTGGTTAAGTCCAGCTTTGCTCGGCGTCTTAGACAATAAGCGCCATATTTGTTTGTGGTTGTGGACAATGAGTGGTCAAGAAAGGAAGGACAAGAAGAATACGAAGCAGAAAGAGGGCAAATTGGAAGAAGAAAGAAATATGGGGAACAAGAAAAGAGGAAAATGACATTTTATTGGTCAAAGAAAAGGTATATAAAAACTTACAGATAGACAGATGGATAGATACGAACGGACTGGGATACATAGATAGAACTATAGATACATAGATAAATTAATCAGATAGTGATTTTCTATGGGTAGCTTAGATGTGATAAAGTCTAAATGTATCGAGCACCCAGTGAAGCTATAACTCACACAGTCGTAATTAGTTTAGCTAGACAAGCTTGCTAAGTAATGACCAATGTCGAAGTGCCCATAGAAGATAGATAGATAGATAGATATGAACAAAATGAGATAGATAGATATGAACAAAATGTGGTAGATATGAACAAAAAGAGATAGATAGATATATATGAACGAAATGTGATAGATAGACAGACAGATAGAAATGTGATAGATAGATATATAGATGGATATGAACAAAATGAGATACATAGATAGATAGATATGAACGAAATGTGATAGATAGATAGATAGATAGATAGATAGATAGAAATGTGATAGATAGATAGATAGATAGATAGATAGATAGATAGAAATGTGATAGATAATATAGATAGATATGAACAAAATGAGATAGATAGATAGATAGATATGAACAAAATTTAGATAGATAGATAGATATGAACGAAATGTGATAGATAGATAGATAGATAGATAGATAGATAGATAGATAGATATCAACAAAATGAGATAGATAGATAGATAGATATGAACAAAACGAGATAGATATGAACAAAATTTAGATAGATATATATGAACGAAATGTGAAAGATAGATAGATAGATAGATAGATAGATATAAACGAAATGTGATAAATAGATATATAGATAGATATGAACAAAATGAGATAGATAGATATGAACGAAATGTGACATATATAGATAGATATGGATAAAATGAGATAGATATGAACGAATTGTAATAGATAGATATATAGATAGATATCAACAAAATGAGATGGATAGATATGAACAAAATCAGATAGATAGATAGATAGATAGATAGATAGATAGATAGATAGATAGATAGATAGATATGAACAAAATGACATAGATAGAATACCGTTGACGTGAAACGGAGTGAATGAATGTCTATAAAGACAAGAAAAGATTTCAGATAATAAATTTCAATAACAAAATCGTTTCAATAAAACAGTTAGAGGTTGTGAAAGATGGGAGCTTAGAATGAAAAACTGAGTGTTTGTTTTGAGGCGTATTCCAAAGTAATGTCTCATAGATTTTAACTGTAAAAAATGTGACCCCATAGTAAAGTCTCTCTGGGACACCATAATTTCATTTGGTATCCTCTCGGTTAGTCGTTCATGGACACACCCCAGCGCCTATGCGCCATATAGTGACACGAAACTTTCTTTAACACACGAAATTCAGGGCTCGCCACAACGAATTCCCAATAATGCCAGGCACTCAATAGGCGTCATATGAGACAAACGTTTCCTAGAAATAGACCCAAGTGCATCAAGACCAAAATGGGCAATTCATGCTGATCTTTTTACCCCAAAGTACAGCAGCGTCTACCAGGGTCTATGCATGGCTACTGGTGTGCACAAATGCGATATCAGGACATTTCCGCGCCAAGCTTTTGTGAGGCAAGATGAGCGTATCAACCACTGATTCTTGGGTAGCTCTCCTCTTCGGCAACGTCTACTAGGGTCTATGCATGGCTACTGGTGTGCACAAATGCGATATCAGGACATTTCCGCGGCAAGCTTTTGTGAGGCAAGATGAGCGTATCAACCACTGATTCTTGGGAAGCTCTCCTCTTCGGCAACGTCTACTAGGGTCTATGCATGGCTACTGGTGTGCACAAATGTGATATCAGGACATTTCCACGCCAAGCTTTGGTGAGGCCAGATGAGCGTATCAACCACTGATTCTTAGGTAGCTCTCCTCTTCGGCAACGTCTACTAGGGTCTATGCATGGCTACTGGTGTGCACAAATGTGATATCAGGACATTTCCGCGCCAAGCTTTGGTGAGGCAAGATGAACGTATCAACCACTGATTCTTGGGTAGCTCACCTCTTCGGCAACGTCTACTAGGGTCTATGCATGGCTACTGGTGTGCACAAATGTGATATCAGGACATTTGCTCGCCAAGCTTTGGTGAGGCAAGATGAGCGTATCAACCACTGATTCTTGGGTAGCTCTCCTCTTCGGCAACGTCTACTAGGGTCTATGCATGGCTACTGGTGTGCACAAATGCGATATCAGGACATTTCCGCGGCAAGCTTTTGTGAGGCAAGATGAGCGTATCAACCACTGATTCTTGGGTAGCTCTCCTCTTCGGCAACGTCTACTAGGGTCTATGCATGGCTACTGGTGTGCACAAATGCGATATCAGAACATTTCCGCGCCAAGCTTTTGTGAGGCAAGATGAGCGTATCAACCACTGATTCTTGGGTAGCTCTCCTCTTCGGCAACGTCTACTCGGGTCTATGCATGGCTACTGGTGTGCACAAATGTGATATCAGGACATTTCCGCGCCAAGCATTGGTGAGGCAAGATGAGCGTATCAACCACTGATTCTTGGGTAGCTCTCCTCTTCGGCAACGTCCACTAGGGTCTATGCATGGCTACTGGTGTGCACAAATGCGATATCAGGACATTTCCGCGCCAAGCTTTTGTGAGGCAAGATGAGCGTATCAACCACTGATTCTTGGGTAGCTCTTCTCTTCGGCAACGTCTACTAGGGTCTATGCATGGCTACTGGTGTGCACAAATGCGATATTAGGACATTTCCGCGCCAAGCTTTGGTGAGGCAAGATGAGCGTATCAACCACTGATTCTTGGGTAGCTCTCCTCTTCGGCAACGTCTACTAGGGTCTATGCATGGCTACTGGTGTGCAAAATGTGATATCAGGACATTTCCGCGCCAAGCATTGGTGAGGCAAGATGAGCGTATCAACCACTGATTCTTGGGTAGCTCTCCTCTTCGGCAACGTCCACTAGGGTCTATGCATGGCTACTGGTGTGCACAAATGCGATATCAGGACATTTCCGCGCCAAGCTTTTGTGAGGCAAGATGAGCGTATCAACCACTGATTCTTGGGTAGCTCTTCTCTTCGGCAACGTCTACTAGGGTCTATGAATGGCTACTGGTGTGCACAAATGTGATATCAGGACATTTCCGCGCCAAGCTTTGGTGAGGCAAGATGAGCGTATCAACCACTGATTCTTAGGTAGCTCTCCTCTTCGACAACGTCCACTAGGGTCTATGCATGGCTTCTGGTGTGAACAAATGCGATATCAGGACATTTCCGCGCCAAGCTTTGGTGAGGCAAGATGAGCGTATAAACCACTGATTCTTGGGTAGCTCTCCTCTTCGGCAACGTCTACTAGGGTCTATGCATGGCTACTGGTGTGCACAAATGTGATATCAGGACATTTCCGCCCCAAGCTTTGGTGAGGCAAGATGTGCGTATCAACCACTGATTCTTGGGTAGCTCTCCTCTTCGGCAACGTCTACTAGGGTCTATGCATGGCTACTGGTGTGCACAAATGCGATATCAGGACATTTCCGCGCCAAGCTTTTGTGAGGCAAGATGAACGTATCAACCACTGATTCTTGGGTAGCTCTCCTCTTCGGCAACGTCTACTAGGGTCTATGCATGGCTACTGGTGTGCACAAATGCGATATCAGGACATTTCTGCGCCAAGCTTTGGTGAGGCAAGATGAGCGTATCAACCACTGATTCTTGGGTAGCTCTCCTCTTCGGCAACGTCCACTAGGGTCTATGCATGGCTACTGGTGTGCACAAATGCGATATCAGGACATTTCCGCGCCAAGCTTTTGTGAGGCAAGATGAGCGTATCAACCACTGGTTCTTGGGTAGCTCTCCTCTTCGGCAACGTCTACTAGGGTCTATGCATGGCTACTGGTGTGCACAAATGTGATATCAGGACATTTCCGCCCCAAGCTTTGGTGAGGCAAGATGAGCGTATCAACCACTGATTCTTGGGTAGCTCTCCTCTTCGGCAACGTCTACTAGGGTCTATGCATGGCTACTGGTGTGCAAAATGTGATATCAGGACATTTCCGCCCCAAGCTTTGGTGAGGCAAGATGAGCGTATCAACCACTGATTCTTGGGTAGCTCTCCTCTTCGGCAACGTCTACTAGGGTCTATGCATGGCTACTGGTGTGCACAAATGTGATATCAGGACATTTCCGTGCCAAGCTTTGGTGAGGCAAGATGAGCGTATCAACCACTGATTCTTGGGTAGCTCTCCTCTGCGGCAACGTCTACTAGGGTCTATGCATGGCTACTGGTGTGCACAAATGTGATATCAGGACATTTCCGCCCCAAGCTTTGGTGAGGCAAGATGAGCGTATCAACCACTGATTCTTAGGTAGCTCTCCTCTTCGGCAACGTCTACTAGGGTCTATGCATGGCTACTGGTGTGCACAAATGTGATATCAGGACATTTCCGCGCCAAGCTTTGGTGAGGCAAGATTAGCGTATCAACCACTGATTCTTGGGTAGCTCTCCTCTTCGGCAACGTCTACTAGGGTCTATGCATGGCTACTGGTGTGCACAAATGTGATATCAGGACATTTCCGCCCCAAGCTTTGGTGAGGCAAGATTAGCGTATCAACCACTGATTCTTGGGTAGCTCTCCTCTTCGGCAACGTCTACTAGGGTCTATGCATGGCTACTGGTGTGCACAAATGTGATATCAGGACATTTCCGCGCCAAGCTTTGGTGAGGCAAGATGTGCGTATCAACCACTGATTCTTGGGTAGCTCTCCTCTGCGGCAACATCTACCATGGTCTATGCATGGCTATTAGTGAACACAAATGTGATATCAGGACATTTGCTCACCAAGCTTTTGTGAGGCAAGATGAGCGTATCAACCTCTGTTTTCTGTGTAGCTCTCCTCTGCGGCAACGTCTACCATGGTCTATTTATGGCTACTGGTGTGCACAAATGTGATATCAGGACATTTGCTCGCCAAGCTTTGGTGAGGCAAGATGAGCGTATCAACCACTGATTCCTGCGTACATCTCCTCTGCGCATTCTTGACCATACTTTTTACAGTTTCCAATCTATTCTGAAGGAATCTTTATCATGGCACCGTCTGTAACGCTTTTTTACCTCCAGCCACAAACAATATGCTGCACACTTTCACTAGAGATTCCTACACAGACGACACGAGCGTAAATGAATTGATCTATCATTATAGTACTTTTCTTTAATCAATTTTATCCCAAACAAGGCAAGAAAGCCACTAAGACACAAATGGTTGCCTGGTGTTGACGAATTAGGTAACAGAAATGTAATGAAGGAGAGAGAATATTAGAAGTGTAATCATGAGAACAATAAATAACGATTGGCATTTCATTTAAATCTTTCAAGATTAAAGTTGACATGATTAAAATTGAGAGTGCCGTTATATTGTACAATAAAGTGAGCAATTGATTTGCCAAAAAATATTAATTCTATCATGTACACTCCAAGCGAGTCAGTAAAGCTACTAAGACACAAGGGGTTACTAGGTGTGGTAGTAAACGAAAACAGAAACATTACTTAGGAAAAAACAATAGAAGATTAATCAAGAGGACAGTAGATAGTGATAGGCATTGCATTTAAACTTTTGAAGATTAAAGTAAACTGGAAAGCATGGAGCCGGAAGAGAGTTCCACGAGAAAGAAGTGTGAGAAAAGAAACTGTTAGCATAGAACTTACAGTTCTATCTATTCAACACAATTGTAGATTGATGAGACCGCGTTTCCAGTCGAGTACAGCGCTTAGATTCATAAAGTCTAGGTACTATATAGCAGACCTCATTTACCATGAAAGTTTTTATAGAAAAGATGCAGCGAGATAACCTTATGGAGTTTGAAAAGTGTCTGAAGCCTAGCTGTTGGAGCAGGACCGATAATATTGCAGATTCTTTGTGCAAGAAAATAAAGTGTTATCACAGAATTTACAGTTACATCTAGCTGACTCAACTGTAAATTGATGAGTCCTCATTGCAGATCTACTACTTTGCTTAAATTCATAAAATCTAGGTACGATAGTGAGAAGTTCATCCGAACAATTACCATGAAAGTATTTATAGAAAAGGCACAGATGAGTCCCCAAAATAGGACGAAACTGCAGTCCAGTACATATATATATTTGTGTGTAAGTGTGTGTGTGTGTGTATTAAGACATTTTTTTATGTTTAAACGTTATTTTTATAGATACAAATATTTAAGCAAATGCTGCTTATAATAAGCAGTATTAACGACATTTACAGGACTAAATGTCCTAGAAATTTTCATAGAAAATATGCGTCCTGTATCCTATACGGAACCCTCATATAACCTGACGTATTTTACCGATTGAGCCACAGGGAGCGTTTCGGTTAGCAACGTCGATTTTACTGTTTTTAAACTACAACTTGCTAACGGAAACGTCAGGCTATATGACGGTTCTGTATAGGATACAGGTTCGATTCCTGTCGGGGGACGCATATTTTCTATGAAAATCTCTTGGACATTCAGGCCGGTAAATGTCGTTAATACTGTTTATTATAAAACAGCGCATTTACTTAAATATGTGTGCCTATAAAAAGAACGCACGAACATAAAAAATGTCTTAAATAATTGTCGGATTGGTCCATTTCATATTGTGTGACCTCATATATATATATATATGGTGTTAATTTGAAATACTGTCTTTGAAGCCAAAATTGCTAGTTTCTCAGTGGTTTGCTGATTATGAGGCATTTAAAGCAACCAGGCTTTGTGATTGAGTGTGCTCAATATCGACGAATTAGATCGTTCATAGAATTAATATGAACACTTTTTGTCACTTAACTCATGCTTATTTCTGTATTTCCTGGCTCTATGTGTATAAACACTCGTCGGAACAGAGCTAATCTGCCGCTGTATCTCGGTTCTCTTGTGCTTTTATTGGTATGAGTGTGTTATCTATTTCCCGTACCTCACCGCTGATTGATTGTTGATTATTATATTTGTCCTTTGAAAATTTCGTAAATGACGGTTCCGTATAGGATGCAGGTTCGAATCCTGTCAAAGGACGAATATTTTCTATGAAAATTTCTCGGACATTCAGGCCGGTAAATGTCATTTAATACTGTTTATTATAAACAGAGCATTTACTTAAATACTTGTATCTATAAAAAGAACGTTAAACATAAAAATGTCTTTAATAAATATATATATATATATATATATATATATATATATATATATAAATATATATATATGTATATAAATATGTATATATATGTATATAAATATATATATATACATATATATATATATATATATATATATATATATATATATATATATATATAGTTTTAACGTGTTCTATAATTATGGGATAAAGTGGTCAATATCTGAGATAGATCATGTGTAAATATCAATATAATAGTGAACATTAAAGTCAACACTCAGAGGCTTGCCTGTCGCCTGAGTGTTGACTTCAATGTTGACTTATATATATATATATATATATATATATATATATATATATATATATATATATATTCCATCTTCAAATATATATATATATATATATATATATATATATATATATATATATTTCGCTTGAAGAATTCAATTTAATTCCAATAATTATACTGAAGTTTTCGGGTCTTGTTTTGAAACATGAGAACTCTTATGTAGCGACGGAATCATATTTTTAAATAAATAATCGTATATATATATATATATATATATATATATATATATATATATATATACTGTTTGTTTTTTTGCTTTTGTAAAGAGAATATTTGTGGTGATTTATTTGTGGTTTCTGTGATTGTGTATTATTTTGTAATTTATTTTTTTGCTGATGTTTTGTGTGCTGTCAAAAGCATTTTTGTGTTTTATTTAGCTTTGTTTTATAAGGGGTTTTTAATTTGTGTGTTGGTTTTTTGTGTGTATTTTATGGCTGCATGTTATTTTGTTTGTTAATATTTATTGATAGTTTGGTTACTCTTTTTGGGATGGATTCTGTTTTCGGTTGGTGACGATTAGATGTTATGTATGGTAGTTTATGTTTGTGATTTGGCTGCGTTTTGTGTTATATTTCTTTTGTTTTTCTATTAGTATTTAGGTAGCAAAGTAGGTGCTCATTGAAATGTCTGCACTTTCCCATTATTTCATTCTTTTTGTTCAATAAGTTGTTTTGATTCTTGAAGCTGATGATTGTTCATTTTTACTACAGGCAAAATTTACAGATACTACTGTTTCCACTATGTGGGCCTACGCTTTTTATAATTTCCAATTTAACCTTGATCTTGTTAATTTCTTTCTGGCACCGTATGTATTTTGATAGTTTTGTGTTGTTTTATTTTTCTGTTTTAAATGAGTTTGATGATTATTAA